TCGGTAGCACTTATTTTATTATCACTTTTAGAATAAAACACTGCCGGTTTGTACATATTGAGTGGTGGATATGTTAGAATATCTACTTTTTCAATATGTACGCAACGCTTACGGGAATCACGAGCGACAAGCCCGTTCAACTGCTGCAAGCCATCGATAACACGTCAGGTCAGCTCGAAGTCATGCTTTTGTGACATCACCTACTATCCGCAATGGACCAACAGCGGCGGACGCACCTACAGGCTGTTCATCAACGACAACCGCAACCAATTAACATACGGCTACTACCACCATGTATGAAATTACCCGAACTCGTTCCGTACTGCGAACTGTGCGTTCATCTCGATCAGCTGAGCACGACCGACAACGTTCAAGGCGAACGACATTCGATGCTGCTGAGAGCTCGGCACGTAACGTCATCGAAATCGTGAAGGGGATCAAACCCTGCTGGGCCAAACAACAACAATACCAATTTGCTCTGTTTACGTGGGGGTGAACGTTGACGCCTACACCAGTCTGCAGGGAGTCACCGTGACCGTGGAAGACATGATATCGCTCACTGAAATTTTCCTACTCAACAACATACATCTCATGGGTTTGAAGTGCACGTCCTATGAATTATGCGATAACCAATTGAAAACCATTTTGTAATACATCATATATAAACGAGATGAACCATCATCATCCCAACGTAATGCTAGCTGATCTCGGAGACACGCGGGGATTCGATCTGCCCGGTGAGGAAAACACCTTGTACGTCCTGCACTTAAAAGACAACATATACCATCGGGTGTCACTAGCAGACTTCAAACAGCCAGACTGGATGATTGACATGACCCTCACCTCGCCCCACATATCTTTTAAAAAACAATGGTTACGTCTCCAAAATTGAGAACAACGGGATCCTTCTCACATTTTTCACTCCAGAGTTTGATGTACAAGTTTTACGAATACCATGTCACACGGGCAACATGTTAGCTTCAACGACGTGGCTTCATATTTACGTTTTGACGTACTCAATTACCAACGGGAATTTTTCGATTCAAATTTGACTATCAAATCACACACCACGCTCGTTCTAGATGTCTATCTCGCTGACGCTCGTGGGAGGTCAGAACGAACGCTTTTGACTGGGTTGATAATACACTGGTTAGACAGACACAATCACCAATGGTGTCGTATCGTCATAAGAGCAGGATCGACACCCTTAATAAACCTCGATGGAGTGTGTGTTATAGAAAAAAACATTCATGTCTCGAATATTTACGTGTACGATAATCTAAACCTCATCAGCCTCGAATACATCGATCGGATATTAACGGAAAACCAATTAAATATTATTATATAAAAAAAATATATATACACACACACACAAGATGGGACTGTACCCAGCCGTGGATGAAGTAGCAAGAACACTGGAGACCGTAGACAGGTTTCGTTTGCAACAGATATGTGAGATCAAACAACAACTAGAACGTGAATGCAATACGCGGTCGGCATTACAGAAAAAAATATCACAGGGACGTCAATTCCGTGAACGGTGTTGACAGCGCTTTTGTTTCAGTCTGCATGGGATTAGGCGTAACAGGTATTGGGTTATTTTCCACCATCATGGCCTCAGCCGTGGTGCTAGTCATCGAAATAACAGCTGGAGTGGTAGGGTTGATGGGATTGACCCTTAAATACGTGTCTCGCAGACTGCAGCGTAAAGCATTGAAACACGACAAAATTAGAATTCTAGCCAAAGCGAAGTTAAACACGAAGAACAATCATATTTCCACCGTGCTCACCGACTCTAAAATCTCCGAAGAAGAGTTTCGTTTGGTGCTATCAGAAATCGCAAAATATCACAGAATGAAACAAGAGATTTGCACCAAGTCTCGTAAAAACGCCATCATTTGTGAAGACGAGAATTTACTACTTTAGATAGGCCAAGCCCATGTCTCCAAAGATGGGAGGGATCATGTTATCTCACTGCATGGATTTAATTTTAACATTGTTTTAAATTAACGGTTTAACAGGATGTCCAAAATACACAAAAAGTCACCTAAAGAGTGCTGGTACCGTCGGCAAGCGCCAGGAATTGAGAGAATCTGGGTTTTTATTAAGATAAACGGATGAATGTTGTAAATGATTATAAATATATATTGTTTACCCAAAATTGACTCTGAATAAATCTGTAATTGGCAAGGAGAGGAAAGAAAGGTCTTTTACAACTTCACTCTGTTGTTCCTATGCTCGGCGTTATTCCATCGACTATTTATTTCAAGTTATTTGATTCTCAAATGCAACCGATTTTATTATATGGATCTGAAATATGGAGTTTTAAAGAGTAGTAGACCACTGACAAAATTCGTTTGCTTTCCCGTAAAAAGTTTCTAAATGTTGCCAAGTGCTATGGTTTATGGTGAATGTGGGAGATTTCAGTTGTACATATCATCTTATTGTCGTTTAAAGTATTGATGTAAAATAATTAATATTCCTGAACATCGTTTAACTAAAAAGCCTTCAATATGCTTGGACATCTTGACAATCTTGAAAAGAGTAATTGGACATCTCATAATCGCACCTTACCATTTAGATAATTATGTTTTTTATTTTATTTGGTTATCACTGACAGTGGGCAATGCAAGTATGTTTATTACAGAAAAACAGCTTCGTACGCGGGCTATTGATATTTTTAAGCAGGAATGCCATTCAACTATTAATGAAAGTTCTAGATATGATTCATATCGTCAGTTTAAGTCTTTACTTGAGCCAGAGTCTTACTAATACCCCCATCACAGTCACCAAACTCGTTCTCAGTACGATCTTGAAAAATGTTCGGACCGTCTCGATGTGTGTGCGAACGGACTGGACGTAGTGGCACCATTTACAGTCTGTTTAGGAACTTTATTGACGGGTCCAGCCAGACTATAGACGGAAGGGTGCTCCAGAACGTTGAACATGCCCAACGTTCTACCCGTTCTAAAATGGGACGGAGTGACAACGTACTTAAAACGAGATTGCCGTACTGCAAACCGTACTTCAATCTTACTGGGGAGGTGTGCGGACGTAGTGCAGTCGGACACCAATTGCGATACGTTTGTACATAGTTTCCACCACGACCATCCCGTTCGCAGACAGACCTAATTCGACCGTATTACGTCCTTAGTTAGTTGCTACTCCGTGCAAATATATTCAAAAAGTGTTCTGAAGAAGTCCGTAGTGCATTTCTACATAGTTCTAAAAGTTTGCAATTGGTTCTCATTGCATTCTATGTCAACACTGTGTGCAGTACGATGTGACTAGGTAGGGTACCGGGTATATATACATTCATTTTAACACGTTCGTCATTTGGGATAGAGATATCTACCTGTAAAACATGAACAAGTTCGCAACTGTCAACATGTTAAATGCGGTTTTCCTGCATTTTTTATTGGAAGCAGAGCAAGAGTACAATGAATTGGTAGAGCAAGAAAGGAGGAAAAGAACCAAAACTTGTTGGGTGATGAACTGGCTTAAACCTGAGTGGCGAATACATGTGTGACATTATTATCACCTTGATGATAATGAGTTCTACAAGTTCTTGAGAATCACCCCACCCATGTTTGATGAACTTCTTGAAACTGAGAAACTGAGAACGGGAATGACAACTGGCAAGAACGTGCTGGGTACTTATAGAAATCGGACCAGGGCGTGATTCTAATTACGATTGCACGTGCAAACAGGAAGAACTGCCTGCACACGAGTTGGACGAGTTAAGAACGAGTTAAGAACGAGTTAGTACGGGTTGTACGTATTGAGAACCAGATAGATCTAGTTCAGACAGTTAGTTAGACATCCCAATTGTCATGATCAGACACTGGACTAGGGATTAGTTAGGGCAACACCCATATATAATGGAGTTCATCGCCCACTGCTTGGGAATTACATAAATTTCAAAGACGATACAAAGGCGGATCAAGAGGGGGGAGTGCAGGGGTGCGCGTCCCCCCTTCCCGCTTTTGTCCTGAAAGTTTATTAAATGACCATTGAAACTCTCGCGAAAAGAGGTTGAAATGAAGTTTTCCCCCTACACACACACCCCCACCCCCCTTCTCATGCTCACACGCATACATACACACAAAAAAGCTGTACACCAAACACCCACCGCACGCGGTGTTGGCGGTGTTTGCTAATCCGGAATTAATCACATGTTGCGCGTGTGTTTTTTGCGCCAGATATTAGCGTATGCTTCAGCCACTGGGACTGAGTTCTGTTTCCAAAGGAGTTATAGGATAAAGCGCGCGCCAAGGGAAATAATTCTGCGGGGTTCGCCGGTAGGGGTCGCGACGGTCTATTTTATGCAAAGTTGCATTAATTAATTCGAATTTTTTAATTTATTATTGTAATTGAAATACGCAGTTTGTTTTGGAATACATTATATGGTAGCTTCCCTGAGGGCTGATACTTAGTATTAACTGAGAGAAATACATAATTTATTTTTAGAGAAGTGTGGTGTGAAATAGTGCCTTTGTTTTAGTAATTAACCGTAGAAGATATTGAAAATACCCAAAGATTATGTCCATTCTGTAACATTACTGAAGATAAATTCTATTGTGTGTTTATTTTGTTGAAAATCTTATCAATAATTATCTACCTCAATTGCCTTTATCTCATATCAATGTTAAATTATTGTCTTCCTTACTCTCCTGCAAAGAACGTTCGAAACAACACAAAGTAGCCCTATTTATTTACAATGCATTTTTGTGAAGAAAAGACGTTGATTTTATGAGCCATTGTTAATATGTATCTGTTATGTATATGGGCCTATGGCCTTTCATGCAATAAAGAATTGAATTGACTACCTAATCCACTTCGTTTATATATACTGAACAACATTAGAAACGCACCACCCATATAATACGAAACATCCCCGTTAGACTGAAATGTACCAATGATATCTGAGCATCGTCGGTGCATTTTAGTGTGGTGCGTTTCTAATGCTGTTCAGTATATGTATATATGTACGTTTACAGGGGCGACAAAGTCGTTGAATGTCAATGGGACAGTGTTCAGATTTGATGGGGATAATGCAACGTTTTGGAGGGCGAAGAAACTTTGTAAAGATAAAACTGCACGACTGCCCCAGTATCTATCAACTGTAATCCAGAGTAAAGTGGTGCAGAAGTTGGGTAAGTCCATCACACAGACAAACTACCCGTGTAGATCCGGGTTAGAATGGTCTTCAGCAACCTCTTGCTTGTCATGAGACTAACGGCATCGGGTGGTCAGGCTCGCTGACACATGTCATCGGTTCCCAATTGCGTTGATCGATGTTGATGTTGATAATCACTAGCTTGTCTGGTCCAGAATCGATCATTTACATCCGCTTACATATAGCTGGAATATTGCGGAGTACGGGGATAAACAACAAACAAAAATCAATAGTATCTGAGAAAACCTGTACAGGCATTATGAACTATATTTGTTAACATGGAACAAGGATAATAACTGTACAAAACATATTTACGGCAACAATTTTCGAAATCAGTCTCAATAAGCATTTCTTATATGAGCACGCAAACTCCCATTCATGGAGGTCCAGTAGTTTATGTCCCCATTCCACACAGTTTTTACGCAGCTGGAAGTCCATTAATTCAAGACACCAATTTTCGAACTATGTGACATTGTGTAAAATGTCATGTCTCTGAGCTAAATGGTTTGATTTGAAAGTACATTGTCTGTCATTAAGTAGTTGGGGGATGAAGGGATGTTCCTATGTCCCCTGCTTCACTTTGTGCTGGGATATAATAACCGTTATCAACAACTTCCAGGTGATCACTGGATAGGATTGTACAAGGACAGGAATGTCTGGAAATGGCAAAACACTACTCTACCTGCAAACGAATCCAACAAATGGAATGATACTGGCAATGGAAATCGTGCAATAACCGCCGGTGGAAGGCATTGGATGAAGGTACGGTCAAACTCTCGTCATCGAGTTGTGTGTGAAGGAGGATCGAGAAATGGTAAGTCCAAAGATGTTACATGCCAGGGCCTAGATTTTCGAAGCTCTCTTAGCGATAAGATAGTAAGAAGTTAATGTTAATGTATGGCACTTACGACTATCTTAGCGCTAAGAGAGCTTCGAAAATCTAGGCCCAGGGCTATGTTTAACAAAGCTATCGTAGCGCTACGACTGTCGTACGTCTATGTTATCTTAGCGCTAAGATAGTCGTAAGCGCCATACATTAACATTATCTTACGACTATCCTAGCGCTAAGAGAGCTTCGAAAATCTAGGCCCAGTGTAGGAGATACGAATGTTACGAGAAAAGTTACGAGATCTTAGACTTACGAGAACTTTGTGAAACGGGGCCCAGGTCCGAATGAAATCGTGACACGAATGAGATAGTATGATGTAAAATAATCGACTGAAAAAGACATTCGGTTTTTTCGTGTATAAATAGCTTATTTCGATAATAATAGTTGTCATTTAGTTTACCCTCCTATAGAAGGGTCTGTAATATAATTATAAATGGTAAATATACAGTTGAAATTGTAGTAAAATTGCCTGACAATGATCAAATCAGGGGCTGTTGATGATGTCCAGCTGGTGAAGTTTACTGCAATGGTGACAATGTGGGATTTATTTACTTTTTAATTATTTATTGGTGCATATGTTCAAAATTGAACGAAAGCTTTTAAAAACCACTTTTGTTTAAAGCCAGAACTACAACTAACTGTCATGAAATACACGGTAAAACTGAATAATGCGCACGTTTCAAATGTTTGAGATGATCGGAACGATCGAAGGAACTGACAAAATCAGAATAGTTCGGCCAGTTTTTTTGTCTGAAAAAGTATGGCATAGCAGCTGAAGTAAGTGAGTGAGTTAAGTTTTACGCCGCAGTCATCAATATTCCAGCTACATGTATATGGCGGCGGTCTGTAAATAATCGAGTCTGAACCAGACAATTCAGTGATCAACAGCATGAGCATCGATCTACGCAATTGGAATACGATGACATGTGTCAACCAAGCCAGCGGGTCTAACCACCCAATCCGGTTAGTCGCCTCTTACCACAAGCATGGGTTGCTGAAGATCAGTAGACGGATGCTCTTGCTGTTGATCACTGGATTGTCTGGTCCAGACTCGATTATTTGCACACCGCCGCCATATAGCTGGAATATTGTTGAGTGCGGCGTAAAACTAAACTCACTCATTCACTCTCCCAGGAAGCGCAGCATAGTTGAACCCACCAAGAACGTCTTGGAGACTTTCTCAAACCTATGTAGACTTCCCTATAGCAAGTATTCTGGGTTACCTAGAGTCAGAGGCCAGGGTCCTGGCAGCAGTACTCTCTTTCAGCGTCAATCACCAAAAGTGAGCGAGTTTAGTTTTACGCTGCACTCAGCAATATTCCAGCTATATGGTGGGGGTGTGTAAATAATCGAGTCTGGACCAGACAATCCAGTGATCAACAATATGAGCATTTATCTACGCAATTGGGAACCGATGACCGATGTGTCAACAAAGTCAGCGAGCCTGACCACCCGATCCCGTTAGTCGCCTCTTACAACAAGCATGGGTTACTGAAGGCTCATTCTAACCCGGACCTTCACGGGTCAATCACCAAGATGGGGAGACGAACAACGTCATAGCAAGGATGCAAGTTTGACATTTTCGTCATTTCGCATATTTGTCACGTTTCTCCTGAATCTTGCCAGTCACATTCCTGTCATAAGGGACAGAAAAACAATCATATAAATATATTGTTTTATAATAAAGGACAAAATAGGTGTGCTTAGATACGTCTGATTAGGGGTATATTCCGAAGACTTTCCACGCCCTGTCGTACTATCGATTGTCAAAAACCACAATCATTAAATTCTCCACTGGTGTCTTGCCCAATATGAGTAGTGCCCGTATCCACTGAATATATATAACGTTCTGAGAGTTTGGCTGGAACGTGAATAACTGAAATGGTGTAATGTTCCTATGTACAATTCTCGATTGCAGGGACTACAACCGACCCCCCTATTACAGACTGCAACGTCACAGCTATACCATCTACAGCTGTAACAACCACTACTGCTACTACAACTACTACTACTACTACAGCTGAAACCACCACAACATCTACTGCAACTGACACCACCAGCACTGCCACTGACACCACCAGTGCAGCCTCTGAGACCACCAGCACTGCCACTGACACCACCAGCACTGCCACTGACACCACCAGTGCAGCCTCTGAGACCACCAACACTGTCACTGACACCACAAGCACTGTCACTGACACCACAAGCACTGCCACTGACACCACCAGCACTGCCACTGACACCACCAGCACTGTCACTGACACCACCAGCACTGCCACTGACACCACCAGTACTGCCACTGACACCACCGGCACTGCCACTGACACCACCAGCACTGTCACTGAGACCACAGAGACCACCAGTACTGCAGGTGAAACCACCGCCACTACTACAACTGTAACTGACACCACTACAACTACTACTACAGCTGAGACCGCCACAACATCTACCGCTACTGACACCACATTTGCTGAGACAACAGCTGAACCGCTAGGTGTTGATCGTATGGGGCGGACGATCTTCAAGAAATGTATCTGTAGGTGCCGAAATCTGAAGGCAGCACCAATCAAACTAAAGGCAGTGGCAGTGAAAGTGACGGAATTGAAGAAAAATGTATCCGTCAACCTTAAAGACATGACAAAATCAATCCTGAAGAAGACAAGTCGTGTGGACAAGAGGTCTTCAGCTGATGTGATTGGTTGGGCGTATCTGATTGTGGTGGCTGTTCCCTTCATGGCAGTTGTCTTTGGTGACATCTTGAAGGTCGTGAAATGGTTGTGTGTGAAAAATAAAGGGAAACCAATATTTTCGGGAACAGAGTAACCGCACAGGTAGCAGAATAACGAGACTAAAGCGATTGGACAAACGAAAGAAAATTTATCTTTTGTAACAGATACAGGACATGTTAGTTTTGTTGCAGTTCATGGGTTATGTTATGTACGGTTATGTCCACAGTGACCCTGTTACTTAAAGCGTGGATACACACACTCTTTGTGTGTGTGTGTGTGTGTGTGTGTGTGTGTGTGTGTGTGTGTGTGTGTGTTGTGTGTGTGTGTGTGTGTTTTATACGTGGAAATTCCCAGTGTGTGTAAATGTGTGTTGTACTGAGATAATGCGTGTATAGCCTGTGTGTACGATACACGTGGTTCCTCCCTGTGTGTTGAACTGAGATAATGCGTGTATTGCCTGTCTGTGTGTACGTTACACGTGGTTCCTCCCTTTGGGTTGTACTGAGATAATGCGTGTATAGCCTGTGTGTGTGTGTGTGTACGTTTACACGTGGTTCCTCCCTGTGTGTTGGTATTCTCAGTGCGTGTGTGCGTGCGTGCGTCTGTGTGGTGTGTGTGTGTGTGTCTGTGTGTCTGTGTGCGCGCGCATGTTTGTGTTCGTGTGTGTGTTCCTGTGCGTCGTAACACCTGGATACTCACGTTGTGAAGTGGTACTTGTGGTTGGTCTGGTGGTTAAGGAAAAGCGTTTCCCGTATGTGCACAATATATTGCTAAAATAAGTTTTATCCACTTCATTCAGTGTTTATCTCTGATTCAAACTATAAGTTTGGTATCTCATGTGATCTGTGTGTGATCTGGCTCGGGTAGACGTGTCCCTTCAATTTCAGGCAAAATAAGACAGGTTTAGGATTGGATGATTTAGCAAAATCAAACACGTATATGCTGAGGTAATGTATTAATACGCATTTTAATTTCAACTTTAGGCCCAACACAAGTTGTGAAATGTAAGTACTTGATGCAAGAATTTTTGACAAATTGCCAATTCCCTTCCATTCATTTACCAATCTAAACCCGACTCTTCTGATTCACATTTTTATTTCATGCCAAGCAATACTGCAACAGTTTAACCCTTCACGCGGAGCAATATTGCAACAGTTTTACCCTTCATGCCAAGCAATATTGCAACAGTTTTACCCTTAATGCCGAGCAATATTGCAACAGTTTTACCCTTAATGCAGAGCAATATTGCAACAGTTTTACCCTTTCCAGCCGAGCAATATTACGACAGCTTTAGCCTTCATGCCGAGCAATATTTCAACAGTTTTACCCTTCATGCCGAGCAATGTTACGACAGCTTTAGCCTTCATGCCGAGCAATGATGCAACAGTTTTACCCTTCACGCCGAGCAATATAGCCTTCGTGTCGAGCAATATTGCTACAGTTTAAGCCTTTATGCCGAGCAATATTGCAACAGCTTTTGCCTTCATGCTGAGCAATATTGCTACAGCTTTAGCCTTCATGTTGAGCAATATTGCAACAGCTTTAGCCTTCATGCCGAGCAATATTTCGACAGCTTTAGCCTTCATGCCAAGCAATATTGCGACAGATTTAGCCTTTCAAATCTGCATATAACTTTTGAAGAACAGACCCAGCGTAATTTCAAAGAACATAATACTATTCTTGTTGAAAGGTGCTTCATTGGAAAAACAACATTCAAGACCTTATAAAAAGTGCCGTGAACTCATTTCCGCACAGTAGTGACAGTCTTTAACTTACAATACCAACACTAGTACTGACGCTGTACAAGCGTATTTCTAATTACGTAACGATTCCCAAGTATGTTACTATGTTGACATTTTATTCAATAGAAGTGAAAATATCGGCACGAGTTGTTGTCTTGTAGCAAAATGTTGTATTATGTGCCAAGTCAGAGATGTGTGCTGCAGTTGCTTTGCTTCTTTGTTTGTTATGAAATACACAATGCAATTTAGAAAGTGGTCAAATGTAACATATATTATATTTGGGATTACACTTTCTTAGTAAAGTACAGATTCTAGTACTTTTGTTGGGTTGAGTCCCATGCGGGATTCGAACCCGCACCCTCAGAGTCAGGCACCTAATCGCCTGTTTGTTGTTGTTTAACGCATCTATATGACGACGGTCTGTAAATAGTCGAGACCAGACAAGCCAGTGACTGACATCATGAGCACCAATCTACGCAAATGGAACACGATGGCATGTCTCATTCAAGCCAGCGAGGATGAGTACCCAATCCCGTTAGACGCCTCTTACGAGAAGCATGGGTTGTTGAAGATCATTTCTAACCCTGATCTTCACGGGTCTGCTACAGGTCTACTGTCATTGAAACAAAACATATCCCGTAAGAAATAGCGGTTATATAAGTAAAATATAAGTTAATATGGTACTAACGTCATATAACGTCAAGGACTTAAAAACGGAAGTGATGTCCTGAGTGATGGCTGCTTCACTGAAATTGCCTACTGAGTATCCATTGTTTGAAGAGACAGGGAAGTTTTAAATATGTTGCATGTAATTTTCTACACACTGTTTGATTTTTGTGGTGTGAAAAAGTAGGGTGCTGAATAAAAGACATCAAACTTTCATAAGTCGCTGACAGTATACAACTATATAATCGTGTTTCCTGTTTTATAGAGTATCATTAATTGTAACTGTTCAACTGTGTTTTTCTTTACATTAACATTGTGATTATTATATTTTCATGCGAATGGTAAAGTTTGTTAAGCAGGTACGACATATATTGATCAATGTATTACACAGAAGAATTGTGCGCTTTACCGAGTAAGAAACTGGAACTTATAACTTAGGTTGATTACACATTCATGTATACTCATACCAATAATGGATGTCACCCCCCAGCCTATTGATAAAATTGAAGGAGGTGACAACCATTATTGGCATGAGTATATATAGTTGTTGTTTCAACCGACTTCTGAAACATCTATTTCACATCAATGATGTAATTAGGAGATAATCCTATTGTGTTTACATTTCGGAAGTGATTATAGTTGGTTGAACGCTGCTAAATGTCATTTAAAATCGTTAGACTACGACGCTAAGAAACTGGACATTATTACGTTTACATACTCATACCTTCGGTACTTAGAGTTACTTTGGGTGATTGTTCAGTCATTTCATGTTGGAACCAGGCTGGGTCAATATTTTCCTCCATATCCGATCCAAACACCTCAAAGAAATCGCCGAGGTCAAACGTAGCAGCTTCAGACGACATGTTTGTTTACCTTTGTAAGGGTTAATGAGTGCAAAATATTCCTACGCGCAGTGAACCGGCTCTCAGAAGAGGTTATTGAAAATTTTCACTTCTAATTTTTTAGTAACAGTCAATCCAAAACGAGCATACTTAAATGTCATGGTAGAATTATGTATAATGACTGAGGACAACCGCACGTAAAGATATGGTTATGGCTCTTTGCCAACGTGATCGCATATTTTCAGAACTGAGCAAAACTGATATGAAGTGATCAGTTCATACAAATAACAACTATCTTTCTTCATTTCAAAATTTAATATTTTCGGCTTTTTTAGTGGGGGTTATTGCATATACTATTGTATTGTGACCAGTGACGTATGCCTTGGATTTGGAGCTCAACAGTGCAGTGGTAAGGCGTCTGCCTATCACGTTGAAGGCCCGGGTTCGATCCCCGGTGGAGGCAAGTTCGGATCCCAAGGTGAGCATATTTGCGTAGTATCCTTGGACAAGATACTTAGATCCACATTGTCTCAGTTCACCCAGCTGTAAAATGGGTACCCGTGAGGATGTGCTGGCAATATGAGTGATTAGTTCATTGCGCCTAACAGGTAGCATGGCTGTATGATCCCCAGGGAGTTGAAAAAGTATCGGGTAGTACGATGGTGTCCTATGACCGGGAATAGTAACGTACGTAGCGCCGTGAGCAGGCAATGTGCCTGGATATGCGCGCCATATAAGCGGACTATTACTATTACTATTGAATTATCAATGTTGTCTGTTGTCTCACTTTTTGTCATGTAATGTTGTAAAAGGTCATTATTGTTGTAGTTCGTTCATCAAATGACGAATGGGTATTTTGAACTTTCTTGAAAGCATGAATTTCAATTTTGTTTAGCTCAAATAATCCTTGATTGATGGCTATGTATCACACTCCATGCGTGGATGCATTTACATTCAACCCGTGAAGAGCCGTTTTCGCATAGGTCTTCAGCAACCCATACTTGTAATAGGCGACTAACGGGACAAGCGAGCGTGCAGATCATTCGGTACAGCATATCCATTCTGAATTTAGTGTCATTACACAAATGACGATTCTGAAAGCAGAATATATAAGACTCCGATCTTTTAGATTAGTTTCTTGTTTAACGCTCAGCAATATTCCAGCTATATGGCGGTATATAATTGAGTCTGGATCAGACAATCCAGTGATCAACATGAGCATAGATTTACGCAATTGGGAAACGATGGCATGTGTCAACCAAATCAGCGAGCCTGACCACCCGATCCCGTTAGTCGACCTTTACGATAAGCATGGGTTACTTGAAGATCAATTCTAAAAATGTTTTTGAACATAATTAAAGAATAAAGTCATCTGACTGGCTTAAAACCCAACGATTCTTTCATGTTGATTGGGTAGTCAAAAGGTTTTACCCGACGCTTTGGTTTCTCAGAAATTGACGAAGAATGGTCATGAATCTGACTAAATCGTGTTGATTGAAATCGATCTATAGCTCCTATTATGTTAAAGTTGTAAAATATATATAGAACGCAAAGTTAGAACAAAATCTAAGTGTCACATATTCGTTTATCCAAATGTATTACCATGCATCATGTTTTTCTTTCAATAAATGTGTTCTAGGCTCCAGCAACTTGAAGTATATTATACCAGCTCCTTGACGTTCATTTAGAAGTGTTGAACATGAGTAAAATAAGATTTTGATACGAACTTCTGGTGGAGGAAGTAAAGAATTTACTCTAAAATGTTGTTTAACAAATAAAGAATATGATATCCTCAAAGATCTTTGACTTTATATTTAATCAGCTTTCTTTGTTGACCAACCAACTGGTTCATTCAACCTAGTGATCAACAGCATGAGCATAGATATTCGCAATGGGGATACGATGACATGTATTAACCTAGTCAGCAAGCCCGACCACCCGATCCCGTTATTCGTCTCTTACGACAATCATTGGTTGCTGATAACCCGGATCTCCATAGGCCTTTACATTAAGAACCAATGTCGATA